GGTCCGGTGCGGGCACGACACTGAGGGTTGCGATCCGTTGCCGGTCATGAAAAAAAAAAAAAAAAAAAAAAGAGACAAATAACTAGTAAGTCATAGAATATATACTAGGATGAATAGTATAGAAATTCTGGTAATTCTGGAAATATACTTGTTTATACTTGTTTTCTAGTGCACTGATATTTAGTATTTATTTTATATTACTCATTATCTTTTAGTTTTCTAAGTATGCACAGAACCCATGGGGTCTCCAGAAGGTCAAAACTACTTTATAATATGAAGACATTTTATTTTCCCCTATGTTGACATTTGCACTGATGATGCAAAAGCAGTGGTGGGGAAAACTGCTGGCACCTCTGATACAGTTTGGATGTGTTGTCCCCTCCAAAACTCATGTGGAAATTTGATTGATCCCCAATGTGGCAGTGTTGGAAACTGATCGAGTCATGGGGGTGGATCCCTCAGGAATGGATTAATGCTCTCCCTAGGTGGGGGGAGTAATGAGAGTTCTTGCTCTGTTTGTTCCCATGAGAGCTGGTTGTTTATAGGACCCTGGCACCTCTTCTCCCTCTCTTGCTTCCTCTCACCATGTAATCCGCTTGTACCCACCAACTGCCTGCCACTTTCTGCCTTGAGTAGAAGCAGTCTGAGGCCCGTGCCAGATGCAGCTGTCCCAGAATCATAAGCCAAATAAACCTCTATTCTTTATAAATTACCCAGTCTCAGGTATTTCTGTTACAGCAACACAAATGGACTAATACAACCTCCCACAAAACAAAGACCTACCTGTACAGTCATTGTATTGTTCACTGCCCTGCACTCACAACTAACAAATACTTTCATTTAATGTCCTTGATGAATCAGTAAAAAAATTATATTTGACCCATGAGTATTTGTCTTAAGAGTCTTTGTAACATTAAACACTTCTGCTGCACACCAAAGTATGGTTGTTGGTTTAAGGAAAAAGACTTGTGTGACTCAGTTGTGAGCTGAACTAGCTGCTAGTAACACTTCTATTTGCAAGAACAACTGAAAAATTATAGTTACTCAAACCTGAATGTCTGGCAGACATTTCCTTACAGATAAACTAAACGAGTCAGTAACTTCAAGGACAACTGACGCTATTTTGGAAAATATCCGCCTTGCCTCCAAGAAGACTTTTATGAGGAGATCAGTATTTCTCACAAATACGATTTTTTTTAATATAATGTGTCAATGTTTGGAAGAACTATATAATTCAGTAAATCAATGTTTTCCATATAACCAATGCATGTTTTTTATGTTAATATGCGGTGAGTTTATTACTGCATGGGTCTTCAAAAATTCATGGAAGATTCATATTCTTTTTTTTTTTAAAGATGAGCGGTAAGGGGATCTTAACCCTTGACTTGGTGTTGTCAGCACCACGCTCTCCTAAGTGAGCTAACCGGCCATCCCTAGATAGGGATCTGAACCCTTGGCCTTGGTGTTAACAGCACCACACTCTCCCAAGTGAGCCAAGGGCTGGCCCCATATTATCTTTTAATTCTATTTTTCGACAAACTTTTTGAGCTACCCTCATATTTAAATGTATTAGTATTTTTTTAAATTGTTTTAATTTCTAATACACTAAATATCAATAGATATAAATGACAAACTAAAGCTCTTTGGGAATCTTCAATAATTTAAGAGTATTAAAGGATCTAGAGTAAGAATGTCTGCATGACAAATTTAAAAATTGTTTTAATTTCTAATACACTAAATATCAATAGATATAAATGACAAACTAAAGCTCTTTGGAAATCTTCAATAATTTAAGAGTATTAAAGGATCTAGAGTAAGAATGTCTGCATGACAAATTTACAGAAGAGTCAAGCAGCACTACTTGGATATCATCAGTCTCTTGTGTTTTTGTATCAATGGCCATGTTGAAATAGCTGTCAACAAGTATCACAGATTTGTTTGTACAGTGGCTATATGTGGATACCAGGCAGGAAGATCACTGAAAGCTTGTTTGCCCTTTCTTTCCTTCTGCTCAAGTTACATTCAGAGAATGGTAAGAACTTTTAATACCCTTGTTTTCTGTTTTTAGTTCCTTCTAGATCATCTTTGATAAACTCAAGTAATGTTAGAGAAGCCCCTTAGCTTAAAACAGTTTATTACCAATTAATTAACCAATTATTGTACACTTACAATTGCCCAGTCTTGTATTGGGCATTTAAACATAATCTACCAAATAATTCTGAAAAGTACTGTGTTAATATACACATGAAGAAACAAGCTGAGAAGTTCAGCTTGCTCAGGGTTTGAACCTAGCCATATAGTTTCTACTATAGCCCATTATGGGTGGTTTAAGTGACAACTCAGTATCCCAGGACACAGCACAGTTGATCAAAGCAAGTCTCTTTTGTTATTGGAAAAAAAGTATTTAGTATGCTATAAGAAAACCTTTACTGCAGTACTTTAAATTGCTTCTATTAGGGAAGGGAAAGGAGACAACAGTCATTCCACTGATAAAAAAACCAGTTGATTGGAAATATAGGAAAGGTCCATGAGAACAAATTTTAACTCTCAAAAGAATAAGCTCATAGGGACCATTACTATTCTCCCTCTTGAGTTGTTAATGATGAAGAAAGGGAACAGAGAACCAGGAACACAAATATAGCCACAGAGCCTGAATGTCAAAATGTTTTCACTATGATAAACCAAAAGGAATTTTCCAGCTAATACTCTGATTTCCTATATGAAGATGGTGGCGGGGGATGGGGGAATGGATTAAAGGTGGGGGAAGGGCACAGGGGTTTAAGTTTTTAAAAAGTTTTCTATGGCGCTCGTGGTAATTTGCCTAAGAGCTGTAGAGCAATACAAGAGGAGGCAGGGAGCTATGTATAACTATTAAGGATTAAGGGGGGAGTGAAATGAACTTTAAGTGACATTCTCAGCCATAAGCAGGAGTTGGATTCACACACTGGTTTAAAAAAAAAAAAGAAAAATTAAACTACCCATAACAGTTCATGGTGAGAAACAGCATGTTAACTACACGTATAAGTACATTTTATTTCAAGTTAATATAACTTAACATCCATGATTTGTTCATTTAAGTGAAATGCTTAAAAACCTGAAGTACCAGTTGGTTAAAATGTTGGAGATAGATGAAATGTAGCCCACTACAGTAGTAACTGGTTTTTTAGACTACTGTGCATACCTTATTAACTACAGTAATGCACATGATATAATGCAGTGTCTTCACATGTCCCAATCCTTATTCCTTTTCCTCTCATGCCTCCCTGTACTGCCTCAGTATCTAATATGAAAATACCAAAACTATTGTTCTTTTGGTTTGAGAAGTAATTAATTAAAACTGCAATTGTACATGTTATTTCCACAGTCCAGTAATTTATTTTATACTTGAGTAATCTCAAATTCCACAAACAAAACTGAACAGCAATATTGTGTTTGAATTCTCTCTCTTCTGTACACTCAGTGATCTAAAACACCACAATATCCAACATACACAAACCTCAGGGAAGGGTTAGTAAATACACACAAGATTGGAATCATGGTGCTTTGTTCCTGGATGGAATGGTCCCACAGAAAAAGCACAGGATACAGCACAACATAAGGGAACCTGTTACATATGAAGTGAGCAAAACACACTAGCATTTTCTATATGCATAATGGGGAAACCTGCATAGGTTAGAGGGCCTTTTATGCTCATTTAAAAATCAGGCAAGTTTTCAAATAATTTGGAGAGCTCTGCAATCCAATGTAGGATATGCTGATTAGTGTTGTCTTTGTTGGCATTGACAGTCCTACGTGGTCACTTAGATCAGTATTTTTGCTTTAGCTTTTCTTTGAATAAAAGAGATTTAAATGCATTTAGACAATACATATTGTAAGCTGTTTACATACACTAAATTTAAGAGATTCAATGTTAGAGTTTCTTTGTTTCATTAAACACTACAGAGTGCAAATCAGGTTTTTCTCAACAGACTGAATATTAAGCTGTTCTTCAAAGAATGAGGGAGAAGAAAAAAAGCTCAAGTGAATAAAACATTGAAACTACTCCCCTTCGAAAATAAATTCTAAAATGATGTGGAATGTGAAACAAAGTTTTAACATAGGTGATCCAAGTTTATAGTTAGAAACAAAAAGTAGTCCTTCATGAAATAAAGGTAACAAGAACACGTTGCTTGTTTCTCCCGGTTACAAACTGAGAAGTGGGTAGAGACAATGTTTCAGTACGAAAATAGGTGACTACAGGATCAACTTTCCATCTCACATGCTGTACCCAAAGCCAGGCTGTGGCTGCCCATAGGGTGGTGCGGTATAACCATAACCAAACGGTGCCTGGGGAGGGACTGCAACACTGGGTCCTGCTGTCAGCATCAACTGGGGCTGACCTAAAGAAGAAAACAAAAAAGAAGCAGGAGAAGGAGAAACTGTTAGCATTGTAAGATTATTAACACTCCAATCTTCCCAACTTTAGGAACATAATCACAACTTGAGTTGTGTGGGGCACTTGTGATTGCCACAATTCTGGCATGACAATCTTACCCTAAGAAGGGTCCTGCCTAAAAAGTCAACAAACAGTGGATCCTTTAATAATACACTTTTCAGTTTACCATTCTCAAAATACATTTTATCTATAATAAAAAAGAGATAATGCCATAATAGATTTGTATAATATCACTTTCTTTAGTAGCCTGAGATATGGTCATATTTTTATGCTCCCCTTCAAAGAACACTTGGTTATAGTGCTTTAACCTACTTGTATACCCTTCAAATTCATTCAAATTAATCTGTTCACCAAGGATGAAAATGGAAAGGGGAAGTAATTCAGAATGCAGGTGTAAGAATTTAAATTGCCTTAAACATTCACTTGAGAGTTTGAAGATCCTGTCTGTCTGGAAAGTTCTCAAACGGAAACTCAGTTCTCTGCCCCAGTTAGAATTTAAAGTGAGGATGTATGTATTCTTTAGGTAAAGCATGCTAAACAGCTTTGGCATGTTCTATCACCTTTTGCTCTCTGAAAATAGAATTCATCAATATTTCTTTCTTAGTAACTTATGAGCAAGTAATCAATCAGCAACCAGGCAACCAGGAAAATTTAGGTTATGTTCTTAAAGGACTGTTTTTGAGATTTCCCTTGTATTTAATAATATTTTAGTGAATGTTAATGCCTGCCTTAAGACAGTTCTCAAAAAAAAAAAAAAAAAAAAAAAAAAAAAAAAAGGATAGTAGAGAGGAGTATCCCTTAACTCAGAGAGACTTTTGCACTTTAGAAGCTTGTTATATTTCTATTGAGGTCCAGTCTAAAGAATGAAACATTTATCTAATGTATTTCTTTGAGGTTAAAAAAAGAGATTACCATATACAATGGGTTGTGTCTCTGTAGCTTGTTCTTCTTCTTTTCTCAGCGATTCTGAAGCATCTAATTTATCCACCTGGAGAAAAACAGGTTATGTTAATTAGTACCCCAAAAGTATTATAAACCTAGGTCTATGGCAGAAAGTGGAAAAGCCTTAGTATGTTATATTCTGTCAAAATAAAACAGCCTAGAAAGGACATTCTCAGGCCCCCTCAAATTCAATGGTAATGTTCATACTTAAGGTGGTTTTCAGCACTGTCATTATAAACCCTCAGGAAGGAGGGATTTATAAATGCCATAAAAGCTCACGCCAGGCTAAAACTGGGCATGCTAGGATGCAGCCTGAGGAAGGGAGAAAATGAGAAGGAACCACTTTTATTTCCAAATGAATTGTAAAACTTATCAAAGATAACAATGAACTCATGAACCAGCCAAGACTTCCTTCCCAAAGGAAATGGTATTCAAAAAATGGAATGAGTCAACATGTGGACTGGGCAAGTACTTGTGCAGAATAAGCTATTTTTTGCCAACTGTGCACAGCTTCTGCTGATACTGGTTACAGGTGCAGACTGAAGTATAAGACTCAAGTGGCTCCGTATTCAAACTTTATAAAGACAGGCTGCATGTTTTAACACTACATGGCTCTATTTTCCAGGAACTAGTTAGGAAAGCCTGACTTTGCCCCAACTTCTTTGAGGAGAAAAAAAAAAATTGCTTTTAATTAAGCCAAAGAAGTAAATAGCTATTACATGCTAGCTACTCTAAATCAAAGTAGACAGTATCAGAGAGAAATAATTCTTTACAGGAGTTCAAATGTATAGTGTAAGAAAGGAGTTGGCGTGCCTAGATCTTTTCACTAACTAGTTGTGTGACCTTGGCAAACCATTGCACTAGTTCTCAAATTTCCTTCTCTAAACAAGGGTAACTTCACAAAATTCATGGAAAAATAGAATTAAAAGATAATACGAATCTTTCCACAAACTTTTTGAAGACTCCTTGTATAATGAGGAGGTCGAATGAAATGATCTACAAAGTTCCTTCTGGGTTTAATTCTGATTTGATTCTGTAATTCCGTGACAAATTAGAAAGAAGTGACATTAAGGTCCTGTGATGAGGGAGTCTCTTTCACTATACACTGTATTTGTCTTTTAAACTATTTAAAATTTGGTATCTCAACCAAAGCCTGATAGTTGGTCTATCATTATAGTCTAAGTAAAACTAAATTCCAAATCTTGATGTTGTTTAGTACTAGTGGTTTTCAAGGTCATAAGTGTGCTGGGTGAGAACAGGAAGCAGGGTGCAGAGAGGAACGTTTCATGAATGTTTACTGCATGTTCTTCAGAAAGGCAAATAGTGAAAAATCATTCATAAAAAAAGACATGCAGACTTTAAAAATGTAAAAACCTGATCCTAAATCTTAATAAGGTTAAAGCAGCACCTTGTTTCTTTTTGAAATGATTAAAATAGTGTCTTTGAGTCTTCACATAGGCCTTTAAGGTTAGGACAGTGTTTTATGCTTATTTCAGTTGTTTCATGTTAAATACCATAAACATGGGTCGAATCCATCTTCATTTGTCAGGGAACTGAAAGTTTGAGAAAAGTAAGCCTAAGTAAATTCTAGATACCTTTGGATGAAATGTGGTTTTCTACCCTAGGAAGATGGGTTAGTTTGTTTTCATATACTGTTATCCTATTTCATAGCCTAAGTGATCATGTGTTACAAATTACCTCAATATCAAATCGAAGGCTATTATGGAGTATAAGTACCATGTGAAATACCCGCTGTTTGGCATCCAAGCTTACAACAAAAATTATTACAGCTATAGAATTTAAAGCACAGTTCCGTGCCACCAAAGGTCAGGTGGGGTTTGGCTAACTAACCAGTATCCAAAAATGAGCTATAGAAAAATACATGGATGCCTGTATATTAATAACATCTAAGAAAAAGAAGAAAAATTAATCAAAAGCCACCACTGCATAATACATTTCCAGACTTTGAAGGAAAAGAATTTAGAGTGAACACATGTTGAAAAGTTAATGTCTAAATCAGATGTTGAACACTGAAGGCCTATTACAGAAATATACGGAAGACTTAGAAGAGCTAGCAACATCACAATGCCCAGGCATAGACATAGGCAGGTTGGGCCTAAGGAAGAAATAAAAATTCTGAAGGTATAGCATCAAGCTAAGCAAAAAATTTTGGTTTTTCTATATAATGGGACAGTCTCTGGCACAGGAACATCCAATTTTTGTTTCTACTGACCCAATTTAGATTGCTTAAAAAAGAAAACCAAAGAAGTCTCTTATGAACACAAGCTTTCATTAAGAGCTGTAACAAAAAGTTTCTGATCCTTGGATTTAAAAAGAAAAATTACATGTAAGCATTTCACTGAATTCAGTTCCATCTGTACTACTGAAAATTCACAAAAATGTAAAAGGCTTTTCCACAAAGACTGCAATATGCTGCAGAGGAAAAGTTAACATGCAGTCAGTTATTTTGGTGTATGTGTGCATGAAAAAAAGGCAAAAGTACTGAAGCAAGAAGTGAGATCTGAAGATGACTGTTGCTATACAGGCTCTCAAGAAACACACACAGCCCACAGCAATGCTATAAAAGTTTAAAAAGTAGTATGATGTAATTGCAATGACTGTTGTACATGCTTGATTTAAAACAATGCAAAACACTGCAGTTCAATTACCTGTTTTTCACACACACGCTTTCTAACTGCCTTGCTTACTAGCTGCTGAAGGGTCTCACACACAATGCATTTTACTCAGGTTTGCCCTAAGTTCCAGTGGTGACTCCAGTTTGGTTCAACATATTCCCAAGGCATTGTCCCCCCACCCAAATTCTTTTAAATTTGTTTCAACTCTCCTTTACCCTTTTCTAACCACAATTTAATACCAGACATAAGTTTGTAAGTTTGTTCCATTTATATTGGGATGGAGACAAGCCAATGAAGGAAGCAGCAACCAAAAGGTGCCTAAATTTGACCTTCTTGGACAGGCCAACTGATAAACAAGAGAGCAAATTTTAGGTAGCTTCAGAGGTGTGCCTTATTACAAAATGTAGAAGTTAATATTGCTCCATTATAAACATAAATAATCCATGTTGCTTAGCAACAATTATAGCAAGCTTGGCTCTCAAGATTAAAAAGGTTTTGATTCCTCTTAAAAAGTGGACTAGCACCATAAGAACTGGACACCTGGAGAAACATGAGGAAAGTCTCTTCGGAAGCAGCTAGTATCTCTTGTATCTACTTTCAGCAAAAAATTAGTAAGAATCAAGAGATCAGAAACTGGATCACAGTCCTTTAATACCAAAAAAAAACCCCAAAAAGCCTTTTACGGCATATATATACATATTAAATTCAACAACTGTCAGGCAAGCTCACAAAATAAAACCAGAGGCTGTTTTAATTTATTTCAAGTATTAAGAAAGTCCTATTATGATCCAGATACCCTGACAGGGAAAAGAAATTTCCTGATACTTTGGAATTAATATGGAAACTCACCACGCTCAGTTTTTAATAATACATTTAAGAGAGACTGTGAACCAACTACTGATTAGCCTCCTGCCCTTCCTAAAGCCTATTAGCCAATTAGTAGCAAACATCTACTAATGTCCTACAGCTCTATTATAGTTATGTTTCAAGGAACTTGCAGAGGCTTTAGTGAAAATTTATTGAGGGGGAAAAAGCAGCAGCAGCAGTGTAGAAAAGAAAGGAAAAAAAATCATGCAAATTTCTTAGACTTAGTCCTCCAGACTTAAAGATGGAAAAGAATCAACTTTCACCTTTTCCTTTATTGCATCAACCTGCAAAGGAATTCAGAAGGTGCAGCTTAGAAAAAAAAATCAAATTCCATATTGAGCATAAAAAGGTAGAATCAGCAACAAAGGTTTGGGGGGGAGGGGACATCTAACCACTAAAAAAGGTATGAGAGAGAAAATAAAGGGCATACTGGAAGCAAAATTAAGAATTTTTTTTTTTAACTTCAGAGCTTACTGCAGAAGAATTTATACTACAAGTCAGTGTGAAAGAAAGCAGCTTAATCACTAGTAAAATTTATAGCACTTAGGTTAACAGCAGCTTACAGCCAGTTCTCACAAGTTGGCATTATGCATAAGAAAAGAAGGTATGCTCATCTATGGTTAAAATAAGGCAACTTTTTTCTCTTACTTGGAACTTTACATAGAAAATGTTAATTCTTTAAAAATTTTAACTGAATGCAATGATATCTAATTAGGTGGTATCCTAAGGAAAAGTTCAGTATACTGGGGGTTGTTAGTAATGCTTTTCTTCCCCCCTTTTACTCAGGCATACTGAAGAGATCAAATGTGAGACTCTGATTTTAAGCATGTTTTGCTTTGATGAAATGGATCCTTTAAGACCATTTTTAAATGTTTTACAGAGAGAAAGTTAGTGACTATTGAAGACAGGGTGAGTAAAAATATTCTAATATCAAAAAGAGACACTAAGATGAATAATAAATTTTATAAGTTGATTATACCCCCAGCTTGTTTAATGCATTTTTAGGAAACATGGTTAATTGTTAACCTCCTATGATATTTTTATTATTTTATTTTATTTTTTGGCAGCTGGCTAGTACGGGGATCCGAACCTGTGACCTTGGTGTTAGAAGGCTGGCTCTAACCAACTGATCTAACCAGCCAGCCCTGATATTTTTAAATTAGGAGTTAAACTATCAAGAAATTGTGAAGTTCAACAGGATGTTAAGAATATACATGCAGCTTCCCCAGGGGAAAGAGGCATGGACATTAAAGTCAGAAACCAACCAAATAAAAGGGAATCTCTACAATACTAGTTATGGACATTTAAGTTACATAAACTGATTCTGAGGAAGATACTGTCTTGAAAAATAATTTTATCAAATGTTTTTTTTTTTTAAATATAAAATATCGATTACTATTCACCCTTGGAAATACCTTGAGGGTAAACATTCTCTGACATGTTATGTTTGAATTGTTTTTTTTTTTTAAATATAAAATATCGATTACTATTCACCCTTGGAAATACCTTGAGGGTAAACATTCTCTGACATGTTATGTTTGAATTCCCTCTTTTATCAATTTTTTTTTTTAAATATAAAATATAGATTACTATTCACCCTCGGAAATACCTTGAGGGTAAACATTCTCTGACATGTTATGTTTGAATTCCCTCTTTTATCAATGTCATTTGTCAGCTATTAAAAAAAATTTCTGGAGAACAGGAATATTTTATGATCAACTAAATGACTTCTAGCAGAGAAAAAAACATTAAAAAAAAACGTGCATGTAGAATTTTACATAGCTGCAAGATAATTAGTTCAGAAAACACTTAGAGTCATTACCTTTGTCAAGTATTCTTTCATGACCTGGATGAAATAGGGCATGGCAAAATCCATGATATTGTGCCTCCATGCAGTTTCCAGGACAACATCTGGCCTTAAAAGATCATAACAGGTAAAAAGACAAGCTCCGAAGCACTCTCTTTTTTCTTCCTGCAAAAACCACTGTAGGAGTTCTTCAGCCAACTCGGTATCTTTAGATTCAGAGGCATACTGCATTGCATCCTATTCAAAGGAAATGATGAAGGTCAAATGTATTAAACCCAAGTATGAGAACTGGTAAACCAAGTAATACAATAGATACTTTCCAAAAACATAAACCTGAGTTTGTGAGGGTAAAAAATCCCTCCCAGTTATATATTTAAATTAAAAAATTGAAAGGAAAGGAAAAGGACAGCCTAAAAGTTTCTTTTCTTTTTTAAACAGAGAGGTTTGACTTGAACATAAGACAGACCCTAAAATCCACTGATTTAATTGCCGTATCCACAAATGGGGCTTAAAGTCAATTCTCATATTCACAAAGCTAATTCTTTTATAGAACATAATTGTGATATACCATTTTAGGCTTGGTTTAACAGCCCACCCCCACCAACTCTATCAACCTTGTAAAGGCTGTCTTTCTTGCACAGCTCTACACTCTGTTTCCAGCGATTGTTGCCTTTGAAGAGGTAAGCAGCAATTCTTCTGAACTCAATGAGTTCGTGTTTTATTACCTTGCTGAAATAATTGACTGCACGAGTGTGATCCAACCGTGGAGACAGCACCATCAGCAAATCATTTAACAACAGAGGCTTGAATTCTAAGTAGAACTGTATTGCTCTGTAGTATAGTTCCACATTGGCAACCTAAAATGGGAAAAATCCATATTGAAGTCGGAGTTATAGCCTAATGAGCTTTTTCCTTCTGAAGTCTATCTTTTGAAGAAGGTACACACCTTGGTAATGATATCTTTGAATTGCCCTTCTTTCCATGCATCAGTTGGATGACTCATCATGGTAATTATGGCATTATCATATTCTTCATACTTGTCATACAAAAACACCAGTTCTGCCCAAAGATGAGCTTGTTCTGCAGCTCTTAGCACCTATATTAAGAAAGATTTAATTGCTTTAGACATGGGTCTCAAATTCCAACTAATAGTCTTTGGGGGGAGTGGGAAAAAAGGATACTGAAAGTATTAGTTTTAGCTGTAGAGTTGCCTCACAATGTTAAGGGTTGGTTACCTTAGGAATATTCACTCTGGACCAGAAAAGCTCAAGGTGCTCCCTCATTTTCTGTGGCTTAAATTTAGAATACAGAATAGCCAATTCGGTAAACATTCCCATGTGAGCTCGCTCAAGTCCCAATGCTGCTTCCAGCATGGTTATCAGTTCTTCAAAATATCCACGATCCTAAATAAGAGAAATGTGCAATTAAAGATGACAATATCTGTGGTAAAGGGTTTCACTTCATATAAAAGGCTCCTATTCATTACCTGGTAGTAGTTGATAAGTTCCTCTAATTCATCTGCATGTACTACAATATGAAGCCCGCACATCTGAGCAAGACGGAACTCTTTGCCATCTACACAGGCGAAGCAGACCTAGAATAAATATTTCCTTTATGTGAACTCAAATGCAAACATGTGCTGGTTATTTCAACTGATCAGTTTCAAGAGCATTTTCAAATAGAATCTTGAATTCTTCACTCAAAGTTATATTTAGATTACCTCTTTCCATGTTCGAGTACTGTTAGCTTTCCTGGCTCCATCAACAGCAGCCTGATATTCACCCAGGTGAACCAGGGTAGATGCCAGGCGCCCAAAATTGGAAACATTATTGTACAACAACTTGGCAGCATCATACATTTTTTCATCATAACAACGGTCACCAACCTGGGAGGAAAAAACAAAAGATAATCCATTTTCAGTGATATTTGCCTTAGCTCAGTCCTCTTTCCAAATTCATCCTTAGCTCAATCTTCTTTCCAAATTCATATCTTAATACTGAGAAACAATTTCTTTTTCTGTAAGAAGTTTCCTTAGAATTCTTCAGTTACTATGTGTTAATCCTACTACTAAATTAATAAAGTTGCTCAACTATTTATTTATATGCTTAAAAAAAAATCTGAACAGGAAACCCACTTGTTGGATATGAGCATTATTTGGCCCATTGATGAACTCTTCTAACTCTGCAAGGCGGTTTGTTTTAGCCAGTGCAAATATCAATTCTGTCTCCACGTAAGACTCTCGAGCCTTCTTACGGGCCATCTGCAAGTACTTCACCAGTTCTTCCCAATTTCCTAAGTATAGAAAAAGAGAAAATAAATCCAAACACTAACATCCTAGTTTATCGTTTCACACAAGTAAATGAGAATTACTATTAATTTCCTTTTCAAAGAAACGTTATAAAGAATGTCAAATGTAAACCATGCAATTTATCTAAAATTGTAAAAATTCTATTACACTTCTATATTATTATTGACCAAATGAATAGCTGAATTCCCTTTTTTCCTTTAAGATTACAGCCCTATCAGGACTTCATGAGAATTCAAAACAGAAAATTAATCTTCCCCACAGACCTTATAAATTCACAACATGCAGCCTCTCTTTACGTGGACTAAGATGGAGGGCTAAAAGTTTTGATAAGTAACCATGCAGTATCCAACTCCTGCCTAGTTCAGAACAGACAGATATCTTAATGCTTAGCTTCATCACTTCTGAGGTCTCAAACACAAAAAGATAAGCAGTCATACCACTAGTATTGGCAGCCTGAACAACTTCCATGTAGGATGATGGATCATCTGCTTTGATATAAGAATCAATGGCTTCTTTCACCATTCCTTTCTGCAACTGAGCTTTTGCAAGTTGACTCCAGACTGCAGGTTCATTACAGCGTTCAGCAAACTCATATGCCCGATCCAAGTTTCCAATATGTTCAATCAAGACCTAGGTAACCGATTTTTGAGTTAGGGTTACAGTAAAATGGATCTTACACACAGCAATTACATTTAAGCTGTTAGCATTTCATTGCTCTTCTATTATGCCCACCCTCAAAGGACAATGCAGACATTGAATCAAGGGAAGGCATTACATTCAGTAATTCAGCTAAGATTTACCTGTACTGCTGAAGTATTGACATCAAATTTCCGGAAAATGGCAAATGCTTCTTCAAACAGCTCATTGCTGATGGCGATATTGGCAATATCTGGGGCATCATAATTATCCAGGCGGTTAATATACTCCATAACACGTGTACGATCAGCCTTAATTGCAGTGAGGATGAGGAGGTTTTGCAGATTCCTTTAAGAAAAAAAAGGATATTTTAAAAGCTTCAGTCATAAAAAAATAACCACTATGGCTATAGAGGGGTTTTGTCTCAGGAAGTAGGGTAAAAAGTGATGGGGTATTAGAAGAATAAGAATTCAGGCAACTTTCTCTAATCTTTGTCTCTTTGTTCCTTCTCCAAACTGACAGGCCATAATTAAAGACTGAATACAAATAGCCAATGGATACCTCTGATAACATACCTGTGTTCACTGAATACAGAGTTGTCAAGGACAATTTTCTCCAACAGTTCAATGAGTTCATTAGGAAGATCTGCAGTCATAAAAGCCTTGACAGTTACTGACACTTCTTCAGGGTCCTGAGTCTCAGACAAGGCTGTCTGTACAACCTAGAGAGAATATACGGTGAATAAGTACTGAGAATCAAGGTGGTTTTTAAAGATATTATCTAATAATAAGTTGGCCTCTCACTAGAAAACATGACATAAGTAGAAAAGAATGAAGGAGGAAAAATACCTTTAAATTTACCACCAAAAGTCTTTCAACACAAATCTACATGAACACAGACTATATGTAATTCTACTGTGTTTAAAAATTACCCTCATTATATAATTTCTATCTTTTCCCTGATTAAAAGTTATTCACACTAACACTCATCATTATCATTTTAATGGCTACATATATGTGGAATTATACAATCAGTAATTCTTCTGGTTTTGGCTATTTGCATGGTTCCTAGATGGTGCAGTGAATATTTTTTCCAGGAAGCTTTGTATCTACTTGGTATGTTCCTTAGAAATGCTTCCGAGGAAAAAATTAATAGCCTTCCATCTATTCTTTTCCAAAATGTTTTATTTATACTTCTATCAGGAGAATTTAAGAATCATTATAATAATACCTCTAAATTTTGGGGGGTAAAAATATGTCTTCAATTCTATATAGGTACAAAACCACATCTCATTTGCAGTTGTATGCTTATTAGTGAGATTTAATAACATTTACCCACTTGGTCTTTTGTATTTTCTCTTATCAATCCTTATCCTTTGCTGACTTACTGTCTTGAATGTTTCCAATCAATTTAATCACTTCTGAGGTATTAATAATCCTTAATGATTAATTTGCTGCTTTCCTTTTAACTATGAAGAACTGAGAGAGTTTTATATAATTAAATGTCTTTTGGGATGTATTTTATTTTTCTTAACATGTAATATATATTTTATATAAATTCACATACATTTATATATAGCATAATTTTACTTCTACTTTTTATTGCCTTCTCTCAGAGTTAAATATAATCCATTTGAGTATATTTGGGTATACAATGAGGGAAAAGATTTTATTCATAAAAAAAGAGGAGCCTTAAGCACATTTGCCAATTTTACCTGGTCAATTAGGGGTCTCCTGTAAGGATTGCTTTCCAGTAGCACGCTACCCCACAATTCTGGATCCTTTCGGCGTACCAGGTAGCGGGAAAGACTTTTGAAGAGGGAATTCTCGTTACAAACCTAAATAAGATGTGAAAGATTAATTTCAGGGTAAAAAAGTAAGGACTTTTTATAGAATGACTTTAATTTAATTTTTTATTTAATTTTATTTTTTTAAAAAAGATGTCCGGTAAGGGGATCTTAACCCTTGACTTGGTGTTGTCAGCACCACACTCTCCCAAGTGAGCCATGGGCTGGCCCTAGAATGACTCTAATTTTGAAAGTGATTTCCTATCATTTAAACCGTGCTTATTATTTTATAGGAAAAGAAATCCATTACGTTTACACATTATCGTGAGTAGACTACACCCAAATTATTCCTATTAAAATTCAACCAACAGAAAAAAAAATAGTTACTAATTTCTGGAGGCTTTTATAAATTAGCATCTGATATTGAATCTATTTTTGGACTTTCTATTCTACTGTACCAGCCTTGTCTATTCATGCACCAGTACTGTACAGTTTTAATTATAGAAGCTTTGCAATATGCTTCAATATATGCTAGTCCACCTTCATAGCTTTCTTTTCAGTTTTACTAGCTATTCTTGTGTGTCTGTTTTTCCATGTGTATATGTATGAATGTGTACATAAATATATGAATGAATGTATGTACACAGATGCTCTGACCACTGAAAGATCCTAGAAGCAAGTACACTTAGAGCCTAGATCTTGGTTTCTTTTTTTTTTTTTTTTTTTTTTTTTTTTGGTTTTTTT